GGCGGTCGCTAGTAGGTTGGAGGCCATCGCTCTTAGGTTGGAGGCCACCGCTCTTAGGTTGGACGCCATCGCTTCTAGCAACAAGAAGCTACTAGGTTGGAGACCATTGCTATTAGGTTGGAGGCCGTCGCCAGTAGGTTAGAGGCCATCGCTCTTAGGTTGGAGGCCAACGCTAGTAGGTTGGAGGCCATCGCTCTTAGGGTTGAGGCGGTTGCTAGTAGGCTGGAGGCCATCGCTCTTAGGTTGGAGGCCATTAGGTTGGAGGCCAACACTAGTAGGTTGGAGGCCATTGCTCTTAGGGTTGAGGCGGTCGCTAGTAGGTTAGAGGCCATCGCTCTTAGGTTGGAGGCCATCGCTCTTAGGTTGGAGGCCATCGCTCTTAGGTTGGAGGCCATCGCTCTTAGGTTGGAGGCCATCGCTCTTAGGTTGGAGGCCATCGCTCTTAGGTTGGAGGCCAACGCTAGTAGGAAACCTTTGCTGCTACGTTTTTCCGAGCCCCCAACGGTGCCTACCGACACCCCAACGGTGAAAGCCTTGCAGGATTTGAGCTCCATCACCCAGGAGATCGGCACAGAGATCTGTGAGAAGATTGCCGCACTTGAAAAGGTTCCGAGTGGGTTGCGAGTCCGATGGTTCAAGCAAAGGCATGTTGTAGTCCTTCTCCTCACCTTGGGAAAGGACATGCCAAGAACTTGCTACTTACTTCAATACTTCTATGAATGCTGGTCTTTGGCTAAAGTGGAGAAAACAAGAAGCAAAACGGTTCCAAAGTTCTAAAAGGTTTGAAAAGTCTAAAGAAACAGAACAGGAAAAAACATGAAGGAATGACAAGTCCAAAGAAAAGAGGAAAGACCATAAAGAAAAAGACAGGAAGAAAGGTCCAACGATAGCAAAGAAACCTAGTATGCAAGTTTTCCGAAACATCTAGGAACCAAATGAATAGTGCATGAACTATCCTGCGTTTGGTAGGCAGTAGCTACTGGTTACTGAGCAAGCCACTGGCTAGCTCTTACTTCATTAAGTAGGGGCCTACTTAATTAAGTAAGGGCGGCTGAAAAAAGTCAGAAAGGACAACCGGATGCTTCTTTTTCAAGAATGTTTGCCTTGGACCCTACTGCTAACCCGTTAACATCCGTTAACCAACTACTATTTGCGCCGACGAACCCTACTAAGTACCATGAGTCCTTTTCTTCGTTGCTTTTTTCTCTAGACCTTTAGACCTTTTGTTCTTTTCTTTGCGTCTTAGGTTGGAGGACAACGCTATTAGGTTGGAGGCCATCGCTAGTAGGTTGTTTAGACCTTAGATCTTTAGATGTTTTTTTTCTTTTGCCTTTCCTCCTTTCTTCCTTAGTACTATCGGCACCAGCTACGGCCTCGGCCTTCACCCGTGTGGAAGTTCTGGAAAGATCCGTAGACCTAACCAATGAGCGGAACGTTCTTTTTATTTTCCTTTCTTTTCTTTTTTTCTTTCTTTAGACAGTTGGACAATTCTTTGTTCCTTTTTCTTTTGTTTGATTTCCTTTTTTGACTTTTGAATGAGTGGAACATGAACTGTGAAGGGAGCCAGCAAAAAAGTGAGCGACGCCCTCAACTTCCTTGCAGAAAGGCGAAAGGACTGCTCTGAAAAGACGCGTTGCATTCTGTAGCCTTCTTTCTCATGCTACAGAGTTAAGGACGCTTCTAGGGGCTCTTGGCATCGCAAGGACGCTACTAGGGGCTCCTGGCCTTACTACTAGGAGCAAGGACGCTATTAGGTTCCTTGATTGATGCCGTTTTATCCGCAAAGTCATCAATCTGCGTAGGTTGGTTGAGATACTAGCGTAAGAATGCTACTAGTATCGATGCCAGGAGCCCCTAGTAGCGTCCTTGCTCCTAGTAGTAAGGCCAGGAGCCCCTAGTAGCTTCTTGTTCCTAGTGCAACACCTCAAGTCCCAGATTTCTTCTCAAGAAATCTGAGTGGGTGATGAAAGAGTCTTCGTAGGGTGTTGTGGGCAAGGCTTTGAACAAGCAAACAAACATCTCTTCAACCAAAGCAAGCCACTGTACCGTTGTAGAACTCAAGAACAAAGCATTTACGGTTGACTGTCAGCTGGGCATATCTGTGAGGATGTCAGAGGAACACCGCAAGAAAAGGAGCTGGAACAGTTTCAGGCATGAAGCACTCTAGCTTTCATTTTGAGCATGAAGAATTGAAATCAGCCTCCGTGTCTGAAGCTCCTTTGTGCCCTGTATCAGGCTCGTCTTGGCAAGATCAAGGCGCTCAAGTCGCAATCGAAGCCAAAGGGCTTTGTCAGATTTTATCGCTAGTAGGTTGGAGGCCATGGCTCTTAGGTTGGAGGCCATCACTAGTAGGTTGGAGGCCATCGATATCTCCTGTTTGGCCCTTCGCAGCTACAACTGTAACAGTTTTCGACGAGACACTCTTTTGAGAAAAAAGGGCAGAGAAAGAAAGACGGACGATTGTCGAAAGGTCGAGTCTAAAGAAAAGAATAGGCTAAGAACACATTGGAATTAAATACAGGGACACACAAGGTAAATACGGGAGTAGGTTGGACGCCATCGCCTGTAGTTGGAGGTCATCGCTAGTAGGTTGGAGGCCATCGCTAGCAGGTTGGAGGCCATTGCTAGTAGGTTGGTCATCGTTATTAGGATGGTGATCGTTATTAGGTTGGAGGCCATCGCTATTAGGTTGTAGGCCATCGCTACTAGGTTGTAGGCCATGGCTCTTGGGTTGGAGGCCATCGCTCTTAGGTTGGAGGCCATCGCTATTAGGTTTGAGGCCATCACTTTGGAATTCCATACGGAGAAACAAGTAAGCACAAGGTAAGTACCGGAACCCGAACCCGGCCGGTAAGAACACTCTTTTTGCTGCGTTCATTTTGTCCGCAGGCGAGCCTTGCGGAGGCCAAAAAGACCGCCTCGCAGCAAGAGCAGCGCTTTGTGTCGCGGAAGCTGCAAGCCGAGGCAGAGCTCCGCACGGGCGTTTTCCCGACTGAGAAAAAGCGATGAGAAATAAGAGAAATCAACAGGACAAGATAACGAACAATAATCAAGAAACACATAAAAAGCACATGAAAGAGCAAAACAGAGGAAGAGCATATACTTTGTCAAATGTTCTTTCTTTGTCTATGAGAATGCATTTAAAAATCACCCGGATGCCCTATGGGAGTCTGCTCACATTCTTTTCCTATGGTCTCAACTGCCCCTCAGTACCCAACAAGAACACCAGCAAGTTCCCCAAACGGCTGGAGTGTCAGAAGATCTCATCGGATATTGCAGACCCCAGACTAAAGAACAAGCGTCTTGCTATGGTCCAACACTTGTTGGATGTTCTTCTCCTTTGCTGATGTTTGCCAAGAAAGGCAGCACAAAGGAATAGCAGTATTCCCAAAGGAGCTCATCAAGGGGAAACTACTAGCTAGGAGGCCATCGCTCTTAGGTTGGAGGCCATCGCTATTAGGCTGGAGGCCATCGCTATTAGGCTGGAGGCCATCGCTCTTGGGTTGGAGGCCATTGCAAGTAGTTTGGAAGCCATCGCTATTGGGTTAGAGGCCATCGCTATTAGGTTGGAGGCCATCGCTATTAGGTTGGAGGCCATCGCTATTAGGTT